AAGGCTTTCCAGTGTAGCCTTTTGTGAGGGGAGCACCCACATTCAATAAGTAACCCCTCATCTATGCTCTGTAAGTAAGCCCAATGAACTCACTGGTTCCTCCAGAGACCTCAGTTTGTTGTTGGGATCTTAGGGAAAAGGGCAGATATGGCTTATGTCTTCCCTGGATAAGAATTTTACCAACACAAGCACTCCTCCAGTGATCTACACTCACAGCCAAATTTTATGTGTACTTTCAACACCCACTATTTATCTTGTCCATTCACAGAAGCAGCAGCTAGAACTGCACAAAGAAAAATTGTGTGGATTCTACTGCTGTCTATACACAGGAGCAAACTACCCAGAACGCTATCATATTCTGCGGTAAACCACCAGGTCCTAAATTTTTGTGAATTACAAAAGCCTAATGCTACTGACATCCAGAGGCCAGACCATGCTGCCAAACATGAAGGAAGACACAGGACTGGCTTGTGCAAAATGTCAACAGTGTCAGGTTGAGAAACTCTGAACCAAACAAAGCAAGATCATCCACAGCTTAAACTGAATGTGCAATTACATTGTTTTTTGACATTGAGATTCTAATACATGAAAACGTACAGTAGTTCAACAGGGTAACTTGCACATAAGGTGGATCCTCAAATAAAAGTCCCTTATCCAACTCCAGGACGAACAGTATTCCTTCTACACAGGATAACGCAAAGCCTCCAAGGCAGGGCTAATTAGATACTGGAAGAGAGAAAGGACTACCCAATCTTATTAGCATTTAAAGGGCCTTTGGAACCTTAAGTGAGGCAGAAATTCTGAAACAGATGTGAGAAGACTTTTGACTTGTTACAAAAACCTGGCTGTATTGAGATGGGCTGCAGGAGAGCCCTGCAGGGAATCGACTCCCATAGTAGTCAGATGCTTGAAGTCTCTCAGTCTCTGTCTCTGTCTCACACACACACACACACACACACACACCCCACCCCGTCGTCACTGTTAAGATCGCAGGGTTTGACAGGCACTCGGGGAAGGAAGGCCTCACCTTCACGTCGTCTTTGAGCTCAGGCGCCAGGCTGAGCACCAGGAGGTAATGGGCATAGGCAGTGCCGAAGTCCTGGGCGCCCAGACAGTGCTCAGCGCTCTGCAAGGACCGCGCCACCAGCCGGTCCCGGCCGGCCGCCCCTGAGCCACCCCCGGCGCCGCGGCGGGGTCTGGGCCTCGAGTTCGGCATGGCTGAGTCTCCGCTCGGAAGCCCTCGAGGAAGACGCCCTCCTCCGGGAAAAGAGACTCTAGACGTCTCACTTCCCTGGGATCCACAGCGGCCACACAAGGCGCAGGAGGAAACCGCGCTAGGCTCTACGCAGAAGGAAGCTCCGCCTTCTCAGGCTCGGGCGGAGCTGCGCACGCAACGCGAGGCGGCGCGCAGTGATGACGCAACGCCAGCGCGCTCTCTCGGGGAGACCCCACCCCCAGTGCCTGCGAGACCGAAACTGTGAGAGTCTCCGCCTTGAGGTCAGGTTGATTGGGCGGGTTGAAACCCAAGGATTCGTCCTCTCTCCCACCTCATAGAGTGTGCTCCTGCTGCTGCTGCTGGTGCTGCTGCCGCTACTCCTGCTGCTCCTTCTGCTGCTGCTGCTCCTGCTGCTGCTCCTTCTGCTACTGCTGCGCCAGACTCTGCTTACGTCTGGCGTGTGCGATGCTCAGAGCTCAGGACGCCCGTCTCAACATTGCAAAACGAAATAAAAGAAACTTAAAGTTGGTCATGGTGTACCCTCTTAGCGTTAAGTA